CTGGATGCCACCCAGCCTTTAGGGCCTTTATCGTCCTAGTGACTAGGGAGCAGGTTTCTGGATTCAAACTCTTAGAACGGACCCAGGATGGAAGAAGGGGCTCTTTGCACCACAGGAGCTTTGCTGGCTCCGTTTTCTCAGTAGACTCAGGCCGAACGGCCCTCTGGAATAGCAAGGACAGTGGACAGCAAACAGGAACATTCTTATTAGGGCTGACTTTTTAATTATGCAAAGCATTTCGTGATCCACTGTCTATAATTGCTGTTGCCACCTCTCTGTATTGGTAAAGCTGGTTAATATTCAGATGGACAGCCAGGCTGGGAACTAAAAATAAGTCTTGGGAATCACTTCTCTTGGCACCGCCATCTTCTGGAGTTGAGCCCGACTTGAGAGAGACTTCACCCTTTGTGCCCAGCAGGTGGCAGCACTCAGTCAACCTCCCCCCATCCCCAGAATTAACTCAAATACCGTATGCCAGCCCCCCCCCCCTCCCCCAACTTTTCTGACTCCACCGACAGGCAGCGGCTGCAGGGGGAGGAGGGGACGGTTTTGTGCACACCAACGGAGCTTTGCACACTCGCTCTCCGCTTGCACAGCCCAGTTCCCAACAGGCCGCGGACTGGGACTGATTGATGGATGGGAGGGTTGGGGACCCCTTGCACTCCAGTACTTGGCTTATATACGTGTTTCCATTTTTCTTTCTTTTTAGAGCTCACTTGGTTGAAGTGAGTTTCCTCTGAGACACTTTAAAGGAAGCTTAGAATTTTCATCAGTTATGCCAGCTATCAGGGCATAGTGGGGCAGAAAGTTGTAAGCACATGATTTTAAAATGACTTTATTTTCAGAAGCAGTTCAGAAACAACTAACATGAATTAATATTCTCTTTAGCTTCAAATCAACTATGACAAACAACTTGGCAATTTGATTATTCATGTCCTCCAAGCAAGAAATCTTGCTCCCCGTGACAACAATGGTTATTCTGACCCTTTTGTCAAAGTTTACCTTCTACCGGGAAGAGGGTGAGTGGAAGGACATTTTCACCAATGCAACAATTCTCAGTTTTTCTATTTTTAGAGACTCCTTTCCTGACCACGAAATCAGCATTTCCAGCTTCAAGGGAGGCCTACAGAATGATTTTTCCAGGGAGTTTGGTTGTCAGATTGTTTCCTAAGTAGCCCCTCTTTTCCTCCACCCCCAAGGTCAGCCACAGGTTGCATTACAATTAATGAAGAGAATTAACGTAAGGAATTCTCTCCTCTGTACATTTTCTGCCAGATGACACAATATATTCGACCTGATGAGGTGGGCTGTTACGAGACCCTGAGACCTCATAAGGATGCTTCAAGCTAGGTTCTTTCCTGTCCTTCCTGTAGGAGAGAAAAGTTCAAATCAAATCTGTTCCCAGTGTGGAAAAAACTGCAAGTTTCTCTCTGACAATGGGACATTGGAATTTGTTTTAGCCATAGATGAGTTAAACCAGGATCAAGCTACAATTCAGCATTCTGATCAGCTATCAGTTTCTCATTCTCAGATATGATAGTTTGTTCCAAACCAGAAATAAAATCTTCAAAGAAAAGATGAATTCGTGAATCATAATTTTGCACTTTGATATTATAGTATTTATCTATGATTGAGATCTTATAGACCTAAACTGCTAATGCTGTTATGGGTGAGTGGGGGGCTTTCAATGTGTGTGTGTGTGGGGGGGGGATTCTATTACGATGTGCCCAGTCTGTGTAACATTTCTTCTTTCCTCAATTTTGAGCCTCTTTTGATACATGGCTGGCATCATGTTTTATCTCTTTGTATTCCTAAACTTTTGCTTCCTGTATCCCTTTCTATTGCTCTTCGATGCCTTGTTTCTTCACCGGGTTTGCAGCCAAGTCATGGTTGTCCAGAATGCAAGGTAGAGACCTTTATTCTTTAACTGATGCTCTGTGCATGAAAACATCCATATTGTGTATACTCACTCACCTGCCCAGAATTCCAGTGATTTATAAAGCAGGAAAGAAAACTGCATTTGCCCCCAAGAATGGCTGATCTCGTTACTGATGGCCAGAGGTGAAAAATTTATAATAGGCAACAAATTGACGCAGCAGCATCTTACGCTACCATTTCAGGATTATCAGCAGAAATGATAATGCACTGTCAATTGATAATTATTCTGAGAGGCTGTGTCCGGTAAGGCACCAGACTAGGAACTAGGAGATGGTGAGTTCTAGTCCCACCTTAAGCCTGAAAAGAGGCTGGATGACGCTGGGTAACTCATACTTTCTCTCAGCCTACAAAGTCAGGCTTGGGCGAAAAGACACAACCAAAGGATCAACACAATCTACCTGGCAAAAGCAGGCCCTGAACTTGTGAGAAAACATCAGGAAGAAGAAAAAAAATTGTTCTGCTTCTCTAACATGAATTGCTTGCTAGCAAATGCAAATACTGTACTGAAAAATCATTTTTATGCATAAATTGTAGTTTTCCATTTTATATCAGTTTCTTTGGGGTTTATGGGATTCTTGTTATATGAGTTAGTATCCAAATAGAGCTCAATTTTAATTGCCCCCTTTTTTTATGTATTTAGATAGATCTTAGTAAATCACTTGATAAATAAAGTGTCCTTGATCCATCAACCTCAGAAACTAAGACAGCTGTTTTGGGATCCTGCGAAAACGCTCCAAGTGCCTTAAAAATGTCTTTATACTGCATGCTTTCAAAGGTCCCTCACATAACATATACACTATATTGAAGTGACACTACTTACGTAGCACATTCAGATTTAGCTCTTTGCTCACCTGCTGTATCTCATTTATCACTTCTGCATTTCTCTGCAAAAATTAATCTGCCTAAAGAAACCAATGTTTTTTATAACCGAGCTGACTTATTAGAAATTACTGTATTATTTTCCGTATGAGAAGGATGACTTAGCTTTAAAATGAGTTCAGAGGGGATATTCATGAAAGCAATAATGACCTGCAAAATGTGCATAATCCTAAAATGTAATTAAAACAAATGCTCAATAGAAGATTATCATTTATGCTGAAATAGATCTAGTTGTAGTTGTAGTTGACTTTATTTTCATTGCACCTCGTACAATGAAATTAAATGCCATCTGAGGTCATTTGACTACAGGAGCCTGAAAGTTTAATCATCAGATGTGTTAAAACTGTTTATAAATTGGAACAATAGGAGACCCATGAAAGTAATATATTATACTCTGTTCCTTTGTTTCACTTCAGCGTTGAGAACAAGAGAAAGACAAAATACATACAGAAAAGCTTGAATCCTGAGTGGAACCAGACGGTTATTTATAAGAGCATCTTCATGGAGCAGGTCTGTGGCTAAAGGAGTTTTTTTCTTTCTTTCTGAGACAAGAGCATGTAAAGAGGGAAACTGTTTTCATAATAACATCCCCTGCATCCTAACCGCATGCTGTTTGTCCATTCCACTGTGACCAGACAGACAGCCTGGAGGGGATAATATCCCCCCCCTCCTTTTTTTTACTCTGAAAGAAGATGATCTTGAAGCAGAGACAGCTGCTTTCCCCAAAGGAAGTGTTGATTAAGATAAATGATAGGCAGAGATTTAAATGTGAATGCAATGCCCAGCTTGACTATCTTGTCCGCCAAAAATTGCTAATTCTGTGTAAAACTAGTTTTGGAGATTTTCCAGTTTGCCACATTTCAAACTGGGAATTGCTCAGACCAAAAGAGGTGGAACTAATTGAATTAATAATTACTGATTATAATTATCTATCAAATAAAGGACCCTATTTATGAAAAATAATCCATCAGTTTCATATACTTCCTATAAAACCCGTTTGTACCCAAAAATCCTTTTCATACACAGAAATATACTGCACAAATTCTCCTTTTAACAGAAATGCCAAAAAGGGGTCAAATTGACACAGGTGGCACAAAGAGCCAAGGTGGCGCAGTGGTTAAATGCAGCACTGCAGGCTACTGCTAGATCAGCAGGTCAGCGGTTCAAATCTCACCGGCTCAGGGTTGACTCANTTTTTTTTTGCTGTGCTGTGTTATTGTTTGTTCTGCTTCAAAGGGAAAAACTTTTCCCATAAATTACATTTTTAGAAAGCAGCAAAGCAGCAGTGTTTGAGGAATGAGGATTATGCCCATATTTTGGGTTGTGTGAATATAAAACAATATACAAAGTGTTTGCTGTAGTTTTATTCTGTTTTGATTTATGTTTTGGTAGCTTTGCTTTTTCTTGAATCTTTAAGCAGATTGTTTTCCTTGGATCTCTGGATGTAAGCAAGCTGAAGGGAAATTGAAACCCCTTCATATGATGTTTATTGATTGATTGATCATATTTGTATGGCCACCCATCTCACATGAAACCGACTCTGGATTTGGTTGGGTTCCACCTCCCAGAGGGCCCCCACACCACGTACGTACGTCCCCAGTTCTGCTCTGGCCAATGTAAATCTAAGGCAGGACAGACCTGGGATGGTTCAGAACGAGATTCCCATCGTAATTTAGAATATTATCATAATATCTATTCCACAGAAAAATGTGCTGAGTCATTTTATTAGTAGGATTTTATTTTATTTTCTCAAAAGAAAAGTCACACATTTCTTGACTCTAATCATTGATGTCAGGAATACTTTTCTCATTTCTTGAAACGTGTCTCTTAGCAAGACCCCAAGCAAGGTCACAACCATAATTCTTCTAGCATAGTCAAATTCCAGGTATTGGTAGCCTTTATGCTAAAGAACTTTCCCATAAATCTATCTCTGTACATGAACATATTATTCAGCCATTCGCCAGAACACTCAATGGCCTTGCTAGGGTGCCTCTCCCACACACAACACCTGTAGGAAGACAACAGTGGCAAAGCACTTTGGAAAATGTCCCCACCCCCAAAATGGAAACAGCAAACAGCCCCTTTGCTGGTTCTTACTAAAATTAGCCTCTTGTTCCCCAAGAATAGAACATCCACTCGGCCTGGATGTTTTCCGGAGTCCGAGGCGTTAAGGAACAGAATGTCCGAATTATTGTCTTTGGGGCTGGAGCTCCTTGTCCCGGCTGCCTCCACTGGCAGCCAGCGCTGGAGCAGGTGTGATCAGCCTGCGGTGTTCTGGAACATTTTCTTTCTTTCTTGTGAAAAGAGAGGCTGCGTTGATGCCCATTCGAGGTTTCCTGGCAGAACAATTATTGGACTGCCTTTTCATGTATTGCTTTAATCTCAGGCCACAAATATATCATGCTAAATTTGCATTCCTGTGAAGAAGTAATCATTCCGCTTGCCTATCACCACTGTGGCATCAGCATTAAATGGAAACTAACTTATTTCCCTAATTTGCTATATACATGTTTGCTTTTCTTAGATTTGCAGAGAGAAACATTTTTCATTCTTCCTGTCTCACCAGTTATTCTAGCAGAGTTGCCTCTTCATTTCTTTTGCGTTTACAGGATATGCAAGCATCCATTCACAGAGTTTATTCCACTCTTCTCTTGTTCAGTTCCCTTTGTAAAATCAAGTCTTTTGATTGATTGATTTAATCACATGATAAAAACAAAATTGACATTTCTTTCCTATCCCTTTTGCTAGAACTCAAGTTATATTATCTGGCTGGGAACAAAAATAATATTTCCAAATGAAAAAAATATAGAATTGAACAACTACAGCAACAAAACAAACAAACCTGAAGCTTTCTTATTAATTATATTACTGTTTTTATTCTTATATTTTAACAATTACCGTGTGCTTTCTCTTTTAAATGCAGGCAATGGACTTGGGATTCGAGTTGTAGGTGGAAAAGAAATTCCTGGAACCAATGGAGAAATTGGTGCTTACATTGCAAGGATCCTACCGGGTGGAAATGCTGAGCAAGCAGGGAAACTTATGGAAGGTACAGTGATCAGTTCTTTGCCTTCATTGTACTGATCCGTCTGCATGTGGAAAGAGGGATTATCCTCAACAGAAAGGAAGACCTGATGAGTAAGTGGAAAGAAATAGGTCAAGCAGCAAAAACAGAGTCTGCTGGGGAAGTTCCCCAAATAAAGATAAGAAAATCATGGCAAGTCATTTTTTTTTTCAAGGGAGCCAAGCTCTTTTAGAGACCTTTGGAGTCTCTGGGAAAATTAGCTATTATTGTTATATTATGGTTGGGTATACAATCATCCAGGTGTTCAGACTGGATTTGGCATTTTTGGCAAACTATCAAGACCTTTCCAAGGACCTGGAATGGACAGATGTGGATGTTTGATGTTGATGTTGTTGTTGTTATAATCCTGTCTTTTGAAATATACATTTGGTGAACTCAAGCCAGCAAGTACATATAATACTCCTGCCTTGTATTTCCCTACAACTTCCACCCTTTGAGGTGGGTTGGGCTGAGAGACAGAGAGTGGCTGGCCCAAAATCTCCCATCTGGTTTTTATGCCTAAGGAAGGACTGGAATTCAGCTCTCGTCATTTCTAGGCCAGCAATAACATTTTCTTGGGGTCTCAGATATCAGAATGCTTGTAGATATCTTTCCAGGCCAATTGCCTCTTCTGACATCTAACGTTTTATATATATTTAATCCATAATTTTCTTAAATAATTAAAAATGGTAAACTGAAATAAATTCTTAATAAGTAGATGTGTCCACCATGACATTCATTTTGNAGCCCCCTTTCAGAGGCAATTATGACAAATGCTTCTAGTTAAGAAGGCAGATCTCTTCATTTTCCAACTGAACGTGTGATTCTGTGAACACATGCGTACGTGTGTGTGTATGTGTGTGCGTGTGTATTATGAGTGTGTGTGTGTGTATGTATGAATGTATATACATCGATATGTATGTGTGGAGATGTGTATATAGAGAGATTGTGTGTGTGATACATACATACAAATAGGAGAACAAGAAAAAGCAGATTATTAAACAACATTAATGTGTGTGTGTGTGTGTGTGTCTACAACACCGTGCAATGTTAATGTTGTGTTTAATAATCTGCTTTTTCCTGTTTATTTCTATATTGTTTATGTTTCTGAATATCTTAGTATTTGTTTGATTTTTAGCTTGAGCCATGATTACATGTCCTGTTACCACAATTTGTTTTGGTTTTGTTATTAATGTTTGTCTATAACTGCAGTAACATTTATAACATTAAAAGTAGATGAATTATCAAGAATATATTATATTTCTGTAAATTACACTTTTAAAATTTAGTCTTCAAATTGGTATTTTTTTAAAATTAAATCTATGTAAGCAGATAGAAAGATTGCTTATTTGTATAGTTTAATTTTTTTGAACTGTATGGCTCCCCCTCAGAATCTGTCCTCAAGAATTCCATATCAGCAATAAGTATCTGTCTGGAAAGTTTTCAGAAATAAACAGTAGAACAATTTGAACACCTGAGAAATCATCTTGTTATTATATTCTTATCCTAACAGCTCGAATACTCCTGCATTCTCCTATTTTTCCCTCAACAACAACCCTTTGAGGTAGGTTCAGCTGTGAGAGGCTGGCCCAAACTCTGCCTAAAGTGGGTCTAGAACTCACAGCCTCCTGGTTTCTACTGCAGCCACGGCACCAAACTGGTTCTCATGTCGGTGACACCAAAAACATTTTATCTCCAAATTTTGTTGATGTGATCTCGGGGCCTGCGTATAACTCAAGGACCGTGGCTCCCTTAACCAACTGCCGCACAACAGGACAGCACATTGTCCATCAGTGTTTTTCAGCCTTGGCAACTTTAAGATAGGTGGGTTTCAATTCCCAGAATCCACCAGCCGTCACTGGGATGGATAATGGTTTAGGTGTTGCATAGCATACAGTATTTCATTAAAGGTAGAGTTGTTATTATAGGAAAAAGAGGAAAGTAGAAATGATTGGTTGAATCTGTTTGTATGTTGTTTTAGGATTTAAAATCAGTGGATCACCAATATTTATATAAATGTCGGCAATGTGCTAAAAGCAGGAAACACATATGTTAAAATATACTTCCAATCCCATTGTCGGCATAAATGCATCATTTCCATAAAATTAGCCCTGAAGGTAAACATTGCTTGAACTCTGAATCCAATTCTCAATCTACTTTCACAGCCACTAGCTACGTCGAATGCGACTGGGACATTCCACATTCTGATATTAGTGGCCATGATCGGAATGCAGGTAAAGGACAGTCTCCAAGCACTTATACACATGTTTATGAAGCCACCTGCCGACAGAAACCAATTCAGAAGTGTTTAAATATTTAAGTAACTAAAGGCCAAAGGGATTAAGCTACTCTCTAATATCTACACAGTCTTAATTGTTTGCACCTAATTTACATTTGTCTGCTTCATCTTTTGTGTGCTACTTTAGCCTTGCAATGCATGCCCAGG